ATCCAACAAATGCTGCTGCTGTGGGGAAGACTTCACATTCCAACCTCCTGCATTTCTCATGACACACCCCAGTTGCAGTACCTCATTATCACCTTGGCAAATGCACTCTCAAAGCCCAGGCAGGGTCTCATCCAGGGAACCAAACAGCAGGCAAGAGTCTTTCTTCTCATACCAGTGTCAGCTCACTCAAGAAGATCCTGTGATGCTGACAGGTAGAAGGCAAGTCTTGTTGCCTTTCCATCTCTTTGTCACCCCTTGCATGTCGGGAGGGAAAGCTAGTGATTTGTTCTACCATATAAGAAACATCTTCCAGGGAGCCAGTGCCAATCTCGGCAGCTAAGGACAATGTATGATAAAATGTGAACACCTGCATGTAACTGTCTGTGTGTACTCACAGGGCACTTGACAGGACTTTGTGATCCGGCTAGATCACAGGCTAGAGCATGTCAGTCCTCAGATATTAATGAAGTGTCTCAGCACAGCTCTTGCTTACCAGTAGAAAATTCTGAGAAGAGGAGCAAATGTCAAATTCTTCCTGGTCTTTGAAAAGAGTTATATCCCTCTCAGTGATGATGGTAAGGCAATTGTGTCTCCTCCAGATTTTGCATAGTGGAGTGAGTCCATCGAAAGACCATGAAGATGAATACGGGTATTGGAGCATCTGTTGTGCAAGGAGAAGCTGAGAGATCAGAAGAGAAGTCTTATGGGAAATCTTACCAATATGTATAAAAGCCTGAAGGGAGGTTGCAAAGAAGAAGGAGCCAGGCTCTTCTCAATGGTACCCAGAAAAAGGATAAGAGGGAACCGGTACAAATAAAGAAATGTTAAATTTCATCTAACCACAAAAAAAATTGTTTACAATGAGGATGGTCACACTAGAAGAGGGTGTTCAGAGAGGTTGTGGAGTTTACATACGAAGATACTCAAAACCTTATTGGACAGAGTCCTGGGAAACCCTCTGTAGCTGACCCTGCTTAAGGAAGGTAGTAATTGGACTATGGATGATCTCCAGAGGTCCCTTTCAACCTCAACAATTCTGTGATTCTGTGATCATCTAAACAAGTACAATAATCACAAGCTTTTAGGCAACAATGAAGACTCCTTTCTGAGACTTTCATTTAGCCTAAGTAATAAAATGGTCATTAGATGACAGAGAAAACTTAAAAAAAGAGTGAGGGTTAGGGTAAATCAGGTTAAAATTTCTTGCTTCACATAATACTTCATAATGATATGAAGAATAACAGGTTTTGAGAAAAGTACTGAGAAAAAGAAAAGATTCTTTTCTCAGAACACTGGTTGCTTGGTGTTAAGAAAATTTTCTTCAATGGTAGGAGAGGCCATTAAGTTCAGACTTAGATCTTCCATGTGCCAGCTGACGGCTCCAATACTGGGAATATTAGCTACCAGTCATTGCCCACAAATTTTGTGATTTTGGTAGGGTAACAAGAGTGGAGTTTAGACTGGAACATGACATTTTGAGACTTGTGAGGATCTATTAAAGTGTTAGAACATGATTCACAAAAGAACTGAAAACTAAAATTAAAAGAATCTCACATGTACACACACATACATATTCTCACCCATGGAAACATGTGAGGGAAAAAAAAAAAGTAAAAAATCACAGGGAATACCTGAACAAACAGTTTTTCCTGCGTTTAATTTGGTTGTAAATTAAAATTGTGGAAAGCACTGCTTAAGAGATGTGGATTCTGCCTAGGGGAAAAAAAAAAAAAAAAAAGAGGGGAAAAAAAAGGTGAAGTAATTCTTGGTTGAAAAATGAAAGGGCTGTGAAACACACATTTGGCTGACCTCTAGATGCTTCTAAGAAGTCAAATCTTGCAGGTAGCTTGGGAAAATCCAATTTGAATAAAACCTACTACCATGAACTGAAGTTCTGCACAACTTGCTACAGACAGACAGGATATTGGCAATTTTGCATGATGGCCAGAATCATCATAGACTATAATGTTCAGTAGGACAAGAAGGGGCAGGTAGCAGCTGTGATAGGGGTTTTGGGAGCCTCAGAGCCCACCTCTAAGGAAGTCAGCACTCAGACCATCTACTTTAGGTACCTAAGTGTGATCCATAGCATCCAAAGTAAGTCAACTAAGTTCCTTAGGTAGTGCATGGAGAGTCACAGATAAATTCAGAGAACCTAGAGTTAGAGCATCATATAAAATTATGTGAACACTTTTCTGTATGAAATTGGCTAGCCAAACCCCCAGAAGGATTCAGCTGCTGCAGCACATCAAACATAAGACTCCTGGTCACAGGAGAGGAATCTAGAATCCCCTAAATATCATGGGAAGAGCTACAAGTTTCAAAGGGAGACTGAAAACAGGCAGAACATTAGAAAGGGCATGCTAAGTCAATGTCCTAGGTATGCAGCTGCAAATAGCTAGGCAAAAAGGAACTACTGAGGCTGGGCCAGGCCCTGAATCTTATCCATCAAATACCTTTAACTTCTTTGCTGGAAAACAGACCTTTTTGCCCTCAGGATCTAGACGTACAGTCTCCTCTTAGTGGTTAAATGGCTGTGTTTTGCTTTCAAATGATGAGTAAGGCTTGGGTCATTGAAAGATGCAAATCAATAATCTCTTTTATACAAAATGCTAGTGGTAAAAGCATTGTCAGCTGTAGTTCTGCCTTTTATCTGAGGACACTGAAACCAATATTCCAGAGAAGTACTGTTTTACTCAATGAGATGGTGGTAGGGGACAAGGGGTTGGGAGTGGTGTGGGGTAGACCCCACACTGAAGTTGTATTTATATCTCTGCAAAGGAAAGAATTATTATTCATTTGACCAAAGAAAGAATGCAAATATGAACATAATTCTGTAATCTGGTGGTTAGACACTCCCATGGGAAGGGGTACCTGCTTCACAGACTACTTTTCACCTTTAAAGGTCTGGGATTTCCTTTAAGTCTTTCAGAAATAAAAACCCAGCAACATCCAGGACTTTGGGAAGAACATTTTATTGCTAAGCATATCTTTAAACAAAATGCAATTAAGAAAACAAAAAGAATCAAAAAGGAAGAAGAAAAAGAAAGGGAGAAAAAAAGCAATAACATCACGATAACTCAAATAAAAATTCTTAAGGTTGTCCATAAAGCAACAGGGATATGGTAGAAGCCCACATACAGAAACGCACATGTTCCCCAAAACTGTCCAATAGAAACTTACACAAAAAAAGGAAAGTGTAAATCTTTTTCCCTTAACTCAAAAGGAAAGCAAAAAGGAAAGGAAGAAAGAAAGCAGGAAATCATTTCACAAGACTCCAAGACTCCAAGAACAGCAATCTTTTACAGACATCAAGATATAATCAACTTTATATAATTTCATCCAGTTAAGTCATCTAAAATCGTGCTTTCATACCTTTTTAAAACCTGTCTTTTTTTTTTCTTTTTAGTATAAAAAATAAAAAAGGAAAAAAAAGCTCAACCTTGCACGCACGCACACGCACCACACACACGCACACATACACGCACTGAAAATATTTGTTAACATGAAAGCATCTTCTCTAAATGTTTGAGAAGGCTGTTTTTTTTAAATTTAAGTTCCCATGTGCGTGTGTGTATTTGATGACACTTCTTCAAAGTCAAATATTCATGCGACTTATAAACACCAGCAAGAGTAGATTGCTAAACCTAAACAGCTGATTAGTTTTCATCTGTATACAGAAAAAGTGTACATTTCTGATATTCCAGAATTCTCAATCCATCTTGGTTTTGCTGTTTTTTCTCTCTGTCTCTCTGTATTCTCTCCCTCATTTGCTTTTTTGCACATGATAGGCATGGCCGTCAAATCACCTGGCTATTGTTCTGTACAGTAAGGTAATCTTTTTCACAATAACTGGGAAAATGTAGAGAGTAAACATCCAAATTAAATAAGTTAAATAAAACCAAAAGATATTCCCAATTTAACCATAAAACTGTATATACACTGTCAGGGTATCCATATAGAAATTATACTAGCAAAAAAAATAGTAGTAAAATATGTAAACAAAATTTCAGATTTTTTTTTTTTTTTACACAGGTAACTGTGACAAAGCTAAAACACACGCTCTCTTCACATTTTAAGGTTTGCTTTTGTTGTCTGTTTCATTTTACTTTGTTCTTCAAGAACATTCTCATTCCATGTTAAGACCATAACAGAACTTCTGTTCCAGTCATCTCATCAAACATACCATGATAAATATATCTGTGTGTGTATATATATATATATTATTATTAAATTCCTTTTTCTTTATTATTTTTTGTGTGTCACAGCAGCTTTATTTATTTTCTTTTATATAAAAGAGAAGGAAAAGGGAGAATGGGGCAAATGGAAAGACAGATTATATGAAATGTCAAGCTACAAAATTAAAATATTACATATGAAAAACAGTTTTATGTCAGAAAAATGATGTATTTTGCATTCTTCTACAAGTGTTTAGCTTTTCTGACATTTATGGGTCTCATCACAAGTTGAACTCCAGCGGTGCCTTTCTGATCTCTTTATTAAACTGTTTTATTATTATTTTTTGCATGCATTGCAATCAGTCACAGAACCAGAACCCACAGGAAGGCTCCTTTATTTTTGCATGGTGTATTCAGCTCAGAATGGCTAGCCACTTTTTAAGCATTCTTTTTTGAATCTTGAAATCCCTTTAACCATAGTTTGGCTGTGCTAATGCATACTCTTAAATAAAGCCAATGACTGATCAGAACAGACCAAAACCCATCTATTCTTCAGTTCAATTGCAAATACTGGAGCCAGATCCAAGGGAACCAGCTTTCCATGATAATTTTCTTCAGCACCACCCATCAGAAACTTTCACTGCGTTGTTAGCAAACAACTTACTGCAAGACGACAGATTCTAGAGACAACACTACCAGATATGCAGAGTAAACACCATGGGTAGCTTTTGAGTTCATATATGGCAATAGTCTCTCTTTATTTAGTATGGATTTTTTTTTTCCCGAGATTTCTTCTCAACTCATGTCCTGATTCACCCCCCCACACCATTCCTCTCCACCCTTCCCTCCCACACTCAAAAATAACAAAAAAAAAACCCCAACCCCAAACAAAACAACCCAAGAAACAAAACCAAACCAAACAAAAAAACCCAACAATCTCCAAAAGCATTTATTCCCCTCCTCCAATCTCGAGAAATTATATGTATGCTGGACACGGCCAGATCAGTTTGTTCTATATTTTTTGTTGTTTAATAATGTTTGAATTTTTTTTCTTTTTCCTTCCTTTTTTTTTTTTTTTAAATAAGTAAACTGAAAAATTATCAATACAGTCAGGGATCACGAACATTGTTAAAGACTCACTTGGAGATATGAAACAAGTAAGCCATGAAGTCTTCTACCTTTGCAGAAAGTTCAGCGGAGGAGGAGATTTGGAGACGTCCAAGTTCACTAACAGGGCAGAGCTGTGCGCGCCATCTCCAGAATGCTAAGTGTGCTTTATAATACATTAGGGTAGAGTTTGCTGACTCCAAGCGATGACTGAGACATTAACAGTCACTGCTGAATTTTTTTTTTCCCAATACTTTTTCCTACAAATGATATCTCCCAATCTCATTTGCTGCAATGGTTCTGATATTTCAGTTAAATCTCATTAAGTATTTATATATTTATATATAAATAAGTATTCTTTTTTTACACATAATACTCTTTGTCCTTGTTTTTCTGTTTCTTGTGGCCACTTTTTGAGCTCTGCTGCTTCTCCTTCACGAGTGTGCCGTTGCTCTGGGCTGAGTTGCTGATGTAGTTCCGCGTCTCGTCCACCTGATAGGACCCCTCGTCCCTGTTCCTGTACTTGTACATGGCATACAGAAGGATGAGGATGCAGAGGGCGGCAGCAGCCACAATGCCGACGACCATCCCCGTTGTGCTGCTCGACTCGCGGATCACCTCTGAGGCCCCCGGAACCCGTCTGATTCCTGGCTCCGTGGGGTTTGCTGTGGGCACATTACGGAACATGGGGGAAGTGATTAGCGGGCTCTTCAGCTTTGTGCTGTCTAGCTCATAGGCAGTGGGCAACGGAAGCAAGACTATGTCAGGCTGGGGTTTGAGCTCACGGTTATTCATTTTGCCGGCTGGCAATTTGGGCACCATCCCAGTCGAGGACGAAGTTGTGGAGCGGATCAGCTCAGGGGACAAAGACGTGGTAGTAGTCCTACCAGTTTCGGAGACTTTGTTAGGTCTAAAGTCCTTGGATTCCCACTTGGGTGCGTGTGCTTTGTAGCCACCTTCGAAGATTGAAGTGGAAAGACTCTTATCTGTTACCAAGGAGAAGGTGGTGTAAAAATCTTCATCATCAGTAGGGGGTAGGTTAGAGTCAAAGGTTTCCCCTGAGCCATACCCAGATATCACCAAGCCATCATCATCACAACCATCGCTGCCTTGGTCCGACAAGCAAGGTAACCCCGCCTCAGAGGTCATGGACAGGGAATCTTTGGTGGTCTCAATAATGGTGAGGAGGGGGCGAAAGGTAGGGGGGAGTGTAATGAAAGGTGCACGAGTAGCAATAGGAGGGATATCTAAAGGGTCTTCTACAAGTAGAGGGATAACTAATTCACCTCCTGGGATGGAAAAGAGAAAAAAAAGAAGATTAGTACATTTTAACGACCCATTTTCAATTCACTTACTTAACTCAAGGGCAGCAGAGGATTTGGACATTACGAAAAAGTGTCAGGGATCAGATTCTCACTACCAACATACTTTCCTGGGGGTGTCTTTCATTCTTCCCTCCCACCCTGCTTTGATGTTGGTAAACTGCATGTTCCATTTCCAGCCACTTTTAGCCTATACTAGGTATGTAGAGTGAAACACTCCGAATTTTTTGGGAACCAAAGTTTTTTTATTTTTGAAGATACTCTCAAGTGACTCTGTGGACATAAACTTTTGGTAGTGATCTTTCTTAAGCATTTAGATACAAGACTGTTTAAATTTATTAGACTTCCATAGAACAATGTTGTCCTAGATAGACTTTACCACTCATCTTGACAGTTTTTCCTCCTCTGATTCTTTTAAGATAATATTAGTATTTTTTTCTCTGCCATTCAAGTCTGCCCACCCTCTGTAGCAGTTTCTAAGGCCTTTCCATTCATTCATTTCTTGGTTGTTGTCTGGTTTTTAAATTGTGGGAAGGTTCATAAAAGTGAGGAATTGAATAAGAACCAAGTACTTACTGGGGTCCATGAAGGTACAGAGCTCTACTCAACACTTGTTCAACTCCTTTTAATCTTTCTTTATCATTCTGTTTGACACTAGTTGGAGTCCCTTTTCTTGCATCTTTTGAGGCTACTAATGCCACATCATCTTGATCTTCAGTTCTTCTTAATATTCTTTTACTATAATTTGGTTAAAAATTAAGATAGATGCTATTGTTATTGATGATATATCTGAATAAGGACTCTGATGACCCAAATTAGTGCTTAAGTCCAGCAGTGTACTGCAGAATCTGTCTTCATACCTACTGTTATTTCTTGATATGCAGATAGCTGTGATCAATGCTATTTTTTCCTAGTGTGATGGCTACCTACAGAATACTAAAAATGAAGTGACTTTATGGTCTACTCTTGAAGTAGAACAATGAAGCTATAGCTATAACATTTGTACTGTACCACAGTATAAGCCGCAACTGAAACAACAAAATTAGTGCATCAGTTCCAAGATTTGGTTTCTAAGTGGCAATATGGCTCCTTTTAGGGTACTACTCTTGTTTTGTCTATGTATTGTAATATGAATGTACTTCTGTTTTTGAGCCTATGGATAATTCATACTCAATTGTTTTACTCTGATGTGGAGGCATAATTAATTTCTTTAATTCATTTAGTTCAGATTGTATAGTTTTCTGCTGACATCAGATCGCAGGGTGAGCCATATTGCTTTTGAAAGTTTGTGTATAAATTCTTCCTTGGGTAATTTTTCTTTGGCTAGCCACTTAAGCTAGCTGCTTTAAATATAAACTGAAGATTTCACCTAACACCATGAGTAGTCACCTAGACCTATTGTAAGGGATGCAACTCAATAGGAAATATTTCTAATGCATGGGAAATTTTGATTTATACTCACCATTGCTTAAGGAAAGATATGCAATAAGAATTTTATCTTCTAAATGAATAATTTTGGCTTTTACTTGTGTATTAATAACTTCTAATGAAGTCTGGCATTATTATGATGCTGAACAGCACCAGGGCCAAATTCTGCTCCCTCCTAGTTACACTATGTATTATACACACTTGTTTCCCATTGAATACTACCAGTAATGTCCATGGGAGTTCTATAAAGAATATGGTCTAAAATCATAATCCTTCTAAATATATTTGGAGAGCAATATATTTGAACAAATTACATATTAAAGACAGCAATATACTGAAAAAGGTACTTTACAGTTTGATTAAATCTGGATAGCTGAACTAGAAATATGGCTTATGCTTCTCCTTAATGAGAAACTAAGTGGTGACAGTTTAATCAACTGAAATAGTCAGATTTATCTCCGAGGTACCAGGGTAGAAATTAGGCCAAAATAACAAATGTGGTACTTTATACCGTCTCTTAACATACTTCCATGCAAAGTTAGTTTTAAGCTAAAATGCAAAGGGACAATTTAAATATGTTTAATTTTCTGAGCTTCCTCAGCATGTTCATACCACTTCTGTTACTTGATAGAGAAAGAAGTATCCCATGTGTAAAATAATGTCACTCTCTTCAAACCACATATATTAAAAAAAAATTATGGAAAAAGCAGAAAGTAGTCTGCCAAATGGCTACATAGCAATTTGTGCTCATGCATCTGAGCCGTATTCTGTACAATGTAGAAACTGGAGCATGTAATATGATTTATATATGGTTAGAGTAGGGCATCTATAATCTATGCAAACAGGTGGTCCCAAGATAAACTTGAAGTATGCTTCAGAGGGAAAGATCGTCTGTGAGTCTGGTAAAAAATGAATAAAAATAATAGCATTTAACTGCACATTACATCAAATTGCATAATTCAGAAATTTAAGTTCCAGAAAGTCAGGGACAGGTAGCATCTCTTTAAATGATTTTTTTGAGATCAGTGTTTTCCTGTTAAAAAATAGTATTCATCTGTGATTTTCATTCACCATCAAAAAAAATCAGTTTGGCAGATTTTAATTGCTCATCTAGAGCTTTAAAGTGCCTTTGTTCTTAGAATCTACTATTCTGGTACACAGCATCAGTATGCAGTTGATCTGCCACCTGCTGGGGCAATATTTGGGCAGTTTTCTTCCAAAGATAAATTCTTTTGGTCCTATTAATGATTAATTCTCCTGAAGGAATCAGCAATACTGTACATTTAATATGAAGATTTTTTTTTTTTTTTTCCTCTGGTAACCATTACCTTAAAACCAGTTCTACAGTTTTTGTCACTGTTGAGGACTACTGCAACTATGAAATCATGGTCTTTCTGAAATGTTAAGAAAAGTTGATAGAGTTGCTAGAGTAAGTGGGGTTTCACCTAAGTAATGGAGAGAAGATGGGAGCTCTGATTCCAGTGGGTCTGTTGAATGGAAGACAATATGACAGAATCAGGAATGAGTTTTACAAAATTTTGATCTCACAATATTTGTGAGAAGAGAAATAACTTTAATACCACGAAGGCTGGATTAACACTATTATTTAATCTCATCTCTAGTTTTATTCCAAAATGTCCAGTGTTTGCCTGTATACTAAAGAAATAAACAGACTGTTAGAGGTCCTTCATTAGGAATCACTTCTCCATCAAGGAGTTAATTTGTTACATTTACTTAACCCAACATACTTTTGGGGAGTATTAGGGAGCTGGCTGTAAGGGTGGTAATGGTGCTTTGAATTTTTGATTTTTCTTTCTCTAATGGAAGAAGATGTGAGACTGAAAAAAAGTTGTGTGAGAGAAAGTAACTCAGAAAAAGCACTCTAAGTACCAAAGCTGGCTTCTGTTTTATTGGTATGTTAGGCATCTATGCAAAACTCACAGTCAGCTAAAAGTTGTAGGTCTAATAGGATGCAAGCACTATGAATACTTCTTGGGGTATGTGATTTATAGGGGAATTAAAACATCCTTTAAAATGGCATAATAAATATGTCACTCAGTTTAAAAGAAATCTGTAATTTAAGGATAACAGACAATGTAAATTCTGAAAAGCTCTGAGGAAAGTGTGAAAAACATGACCACCAACATCCGGGGGGGGAGGAAGTGCAAACTTCCAGATCATACCTGCAAACAACTGTTACTGATACTACATATCTACTCATAAGAGACACAAGGGGGAGTCTAATGACAGGCAGATAATAAGTGTGTGTGTTGGGGGAACCATCTTTCACAAAACGACAGCTGAGGCAGCAGGAAACTGCCTAGAGCCAGTGGTCCTCTGATGGAGAGAAGTGGTGCCTCTTGCCCATGGCCCCAAGTTGGTTTAAAAGTAAGCTCTGAAAGATTTAAAAGACAAAGTGCCACTCAGCACATATTACATGGGAGTCGGATCCTGAAAGGTTTGCTGTGGCAGGCAAATGCTTTAAAGATTTGGATCTCTAGAAAAATCTAAAGCCCCTGAAAAGCCTTACATGAGACTTTGGAAGGGAAATACATTTGAGACAAATTTTATGTTTTTATTTTCTTACCTGAAGTTTTTATTTTCTCACAGTGTCTACCATTTTTTCAATCACAATATTAACACTTTGCAGCCTTGAATAAAACTTAGTGTTTTAATTTCCAAATTGTTCTGTGCTTAAAACAAAATAGCAAGGCTGCCACCCACTTTGGACCATGGCTTCAAAACAAGTACTCATATGAGACTTAGATTCTGTCTGTGGATAAATTGGACTGTTTCCTGGTAGTTACAGATTTCTTTTCTTCTTTTTTATGTTGGCTGTTAAGCACCAGTTAACAGTGTTCACTGGTATGCTGTGAGTTCAGGATTCCTTTAGCAACCCAAAGATTTCACAAGGATTTTCCAGATTAATTTTTCACCTACTCTGTGCTTTCTCACCCAAGCAGGGAAGGGAGGTTTCCCAAACAGAAATATGATTTTTAAAAAGCTTCTGTTGACAACACAACATCAAAGAATTAAACAAAAGGGAAATAGATAAAATTATTTCCTCTACAGTGATATAGATGCAAAATTAGTGTGCCCATCAACAGGAAAATGCAAAAAAATCACTGAACAGCAACTGGAAGCTGCACTGGGAGAACTGGGGTCTGTGAGGTGGGAAACCTCATACTGAGCAGCCCAGTGCTCTGCTTGGCCTTCTCATTCCACAAAGCAAACACAGTGTGCATACATTCCTTAAAAGTTAGCCTTTAAACTAGCACATATACTGTTTTCAGAGAGTTGTGCTTTTCTTTAAACTACCAAGATCATTGGGGATATAAAAGGTCTACTTTAGCCTTGGAGCTGCCCTGCTTTTTGCTTTATGAGTGTATTTATAGATATATAATTCATACCTCTGGGGCTGATCTTCAGTAAGAGCTCTCTGCCACTGGAAAAGACAGAGTGTTAAAAATTTAATAGAAGCCTTATGAACTGTGAGGATGTTGTGGGCGAGTCATGAATGCAGAGGGCATTAAAAAATAAATAAATAAATAAATAAATAAAAACTGAAAAATTGTATCAGCTGCCAACTTTCAACTTTAGTGCCACAACTACTTCACTGGAGTCTCGGGCATCAAACTGATACAGGACAAAAGGCACACAAAAATGAAGCCTGAAAGATTCACCTTCCCACTGACGATGAGGGAGGCACAGGACACACTCTTATTATCTCTCTCTTTTCCAGTTGTGGTAGAAAACCCTATAAATGCCATCCAAAAAGGCTGCACAAATCATCCATTTCTGCAGGTACTTGAAATTCTGCATTCAAAGTTTCTAATCTTCATTTTATTCTTATGCTGTTCCTCTCAAGTTTGACTTCACTTTCAGTATGAAATATTTGCCACAGAAAATAATGCCTTACCTTTTTCCTCTCTGTATCAACACAATAATTCCTTATTAATTGACTGAGTTCATAAATTTCAGTCTAATGGTGTTTTAGTTAATTCTCCTTTGAGTCCTCTGAGGATAAAAAGGGGAAATTATTCAGAACATAGTCCCTGATTCACAGGAAAGATGATGCTAACATGAAACCTAGTAGATTAACATTCTTAAGATTTTCTACTCTTTTCAGTCTGACTTAATTGCAATCAGTGGTAGAGAGAAAAACATCATTTCTACAATGGAATACTGAAACTTTTCATCTCAAATATCTCCTTTTCCTTTCAGGGAATATATAGTCCTTAAACTGATTAGATAAAACTGTACTTCTGGTGGAGCTTGTTGAAAAGCATTTCCTAAGCCTCCCAAACTATTAAAAGACATCAGTTACTGCAGAGCTTCCTAATGAGCAACAGGAAGGTACAGAGTTTGAGAACAAATCCCATGTTAATGTTGGGCTGTGTTTCATTGCCGTAAATGTTTGTTCACCCTAATGCATTTTCAGTGAAATGGATATTAATACCTTCCAGAGAGGACCTGACATTGTGTCTGCAGGCAGGATTCTAGAGAAAAACCAAGTATTTCAGTGCTTAGAGAGACTGAGCTGCTCTGAACCAATTGAACCATGCCCTCTTCCATTGCCCATCATTATTTTAAACTTTTATAATTGGTGACAGCTCTCTACTCAGCATAATTATTCTGTTTTCAGAATCAGTTGTTCAAGGGACTTGACAGCTGAATGTAAGATACCCACTAAGCACAGCATTACTATGCAGGAATGTGTGCTTATAAGGAAGTATGGCTTTTTCTTACTTTTACTTACTGCTTTTAAAATAAATTAATCCAAATATCTTTTGAAGAAAGGAAATTTTAGAGGTTCAGGACATAAGTTTCAACAGGAAAGTGTCTGTCAAACATACCATTTCTGGATGATATTAGCAAGCCTCATACTAGCCACAATATGATGGGTGCATTTACCTGGTAAGAGTACACTTGAGAGTATCATTTAGACTGGACATCAGGCAGATAATCAGCAATGAAGAAAATTAATAGAAATAAAGTAGGAACAATGTAGAGCCGCAGTAGGAAGAACCTGAGAGCTAACAAAATGCTAAAGAAGTCTCATAACTTTTTACTTGCCATGAAGGCTACACCATCAGGCTACCTACAATTTAAGTAGCACGACAGAAAGTAGCAATACTGGTGATTCATTTTGGGAAAGGGAAAGGGTAAAGAAAACTCTTAGAGAAGGACCGAGAAAGAAAGAATAGGGGCAAACTACCATGGGCTCCTTCACCCCTCCTATGCACAATACAGTCTGGCAATCGACAATATACAAAGAGCACGGAACATAAAGGCAAATACAAACATTAAAAAATAAATAACTGAATTAATACATTTTTCCTAAAACAAAACCATATACTAGAAAATAAAAATGCCACAGCAACAAAGTCAGAAAAAGGAAAAACATAACAAGTCATTCACTTTATCAGCAAAAGAAAGATTAAAACCTACTAGAACTGAAAAAAAATATGATAAAAATCAAAAACATTATTTCCTTTGAAAAAAACTCATCAAAAATACATAAAAATATTTAGAAAGCATACCACATTGATTTCATAACAGTCAACTTACATCAACAAATTGCCCGCATGTTTTTTGGCATGAAAGGAAAAATTTACAAAAGAAAGTTGTGTAAGAATGCTCTTGGACAAGTAGCATTGCCACATTCTTGTAACTTGCTTTTTTTCATTGTTGTTTCTTAAAAACTTTTTTAGCAAAATGTTTATTATTTCTTTTTTAATATAATTGTTTTACAACAAAGGGCGATACAGGGAGGCAACAACACATACATCCACACCACATAACATGAAAAGAAAAAAATCTTGCACCTTAACAAATTTCAACTTTTTTTTCAGTTGTTTTTTGGTTGTATTTTTTTAACTTATGTAAAGTTGTTAGCATATTACAGTTGAAAAATCCTGTACATTTTATAGAATTTACTTTTGCTTGTTTGCATATCTACATATATAATGTTTTTTGAAAAGCAAAGTTTGTTGCTTTTTTGCCTTTTTGGTCAATTTGATATATATTTTTTTAAACATTTTCTTTTTTTCTATAATTTTTGTGTGTGTGTTTTAAGGAATGGATGACTGCACATAAAATTTTAACAATGCTAAAGAAAGGGGTGGTAGAGGGGAACTTATGGGAAGAAAAAATGCCTAGGGTGGATGGAGTGGGAGTGTAAAGATCTATGAGTGTACTACACAAGAGATGAAGATGATGGGAGTGAATGTGTAAGTCAGTTGCCATGTCCATGTAAGGGCGGTACGGAGTGATCTAGCAGCATTAGAGCTTCTGGCTGTAAGGAAGGGATGGGCAATATACAAAAACAAATGAGCATATTCATGCCCATCAACAGAAAGAAAGAACAGAACTCTAACATTGACAATCTCACAAACCCTAAGCTGCAACTTCTTCAACATGCAAGTTACAAAAAATTAATAATTATAGTATTAATATTTACATTTTCATTAAAGGTTCTCAAATTATAAAAACAGTTAAAACTTTTCCCTACTAAAAATAGCAGTAAAAATACATAAACTAATAATAATAATAATAATAATAATAATAATAATAAAAAACTAATAATAATAATAATAATAATAATAATAATAATAATAATAATAATAATAATAATAATAATAACCAGAGAATAAAACAAAAAACGAAGGAAACTAGTTTTATGCATTGGAATTAGAACAACTTCAACTGTAGCTACCCACAGCCGTCGCCCTCTAAGAATCATCTTTGCTGAAGTCCATTAAATTGACATCCATATTCACAACAATTTCAGATAATCATTCCTTGAGCACATCAAATCTCTGTTGCGAATGTAATGACTGTGTTGGCACACCCCTTCCCCACTCTCAAATTTGATTGCTTTTATATTCAGATTCTCTGGAGTATCTCAAAAATACAGCTGTGGGATTCTGCCAGTGAAGTAGTTCCTTATTTAAAGAGGGAAATAGAGGGAAAAATTGCAGAAAACAATTCATAACTCTTTTGTTTTGTTTGGTTTTTTTTTTTCATTATTAGATTGGAACAAACCAAATCTAAGATAGAAATTCAACCATTGAAAAGAAATACATCAAAATATAGCTATGTAGAGATATACTAAAAAAAAAAGCAAAAATGAAAAAGAGCACTTTGTTCCCAGAAATAAGGGAGATAAGAACAATTGTGGGGTTTTAAAATTTTATTTTTAAAGAAAAAGGTATTCTACACACTTTCAAAGATGAACAAACCAGATGCACACATTGAAAGGAACAGACAAAGCAGTCTAGGGACACTTTCATAATTTGGATATTTTTTTTGTTGAGAATTGAATTTTCTTCCCTTCCCTCTGCCTTCCATTTAAATTCATTTTTAGTCGTTAGTCAAAACCCCACCACCCTCCAGTGTTGCTTTTTTTTTTAATAGATCTTTATTTTTAATCGCTTCTTTTTAAAATAAACATGGAGAGGAAAAAAAAGGACGTGCAGTCTGGATGTACGTCATAAATAGACATAGAAAAAGATAGAAGAAATTGGCTGAGATCGACAAATGGGTTATATAATAGCTTAATTTTACTGTAGGATGTTAATAATAATGCATGCTTAAAGTAAGTTGCATTTAGGGAAAGTAGAAAAACAGAACAGCAAGCAAGGACTTGGGGATGCAGGCGGGCAGAGGAAAGGGTAGGGTGGGCAGGGGGTGTACCATCCATGCCTCTCCAGAAAGGGCAAAGCACATTCCAGCAGGTTCTCTGCATTTCTGGGGGAGGTCAGAAGGGGAAAAGGGTGAGGAGAAGTATGCTATGCTAGGATCTACTTTTCACCCTGACTGTGACCTTGTATTTGGATCAAACACTCAAAACTCCAGACTCCAGCACTTATTTGGGCCCTAACTCTCCAGGGTATTCCCAAAATGAGTGGTGTTTATTTTTTGGTGCCTAGTCAGACTGGGCTTATTCCTGTAAATGCTGATTGGCTTGAGCAAAGGGCAAAGAATTAGTTCTTACAAATGCATTCTGCTGTACTGGAAAGGGCTATGGCTGTAGTGAATATTGATTTGGAGTGGTGAGCAGTTATTCAGAAGTGCTGTCCATGAATACTGCTGGGGACCCACCAGTTAGCAGTATTTGGTATTAAGGCCATACGATTTTGTATAGGCAAACCTGCCACTGGCTTTAAGACTGAAAATAGCTCCTTCTATGCTACAAAAGGATTTACAGTTCAAGAAGATATTACTAATGAGTTCTGTCTGAGTCTTACTAAAACTAGATCCCAAATACTGTATCTCCTAGGGGGGTCCTCAGCTTCCTGTGAATTCCCTGAGCCTCATATATGATGTCCATAAAGACAGCAGAGTCCTTCTAAGAAGGAACTCAGGGCCCCAGCAAAACAATCTGCTCTTCCTGATGTTTTAAGAGAGGGAAAATGTTATATATAAAGCTTTGGATCCTCTCCATGATGAACGTCTCCAGGAGATGGGAAAAGCAGTCTGTAAGCACTACATGTACTTTAGGCTTCCATCAGGAATGCCAGCAACATCATCCCATAACCCATCATAAAGGTCACATTACCATCAGTGGAAGTGCATGGCTATCCTGAGCTTGAATTTCTGGGAAGAATGGAGTTATCTGTCCTTTTGATGTGGCATGGGGTACTTCTGTATAAATATGGTAGTAACAAACAGGTAGGATGTTTTTGTACTTATTAAGATGAGGAACAATAATACCTCTAAAGCCACTGAGAGTTCAGTGTTAGTTCTGGAGAATGTTAAATAAGCATAAATAACACAAAAACTAAATAGCCCAGTTTGGCTTTAGATGCATTACAGAAAAGTGTCCAGTTTTAAGAAGAGTTATATGAGAAGCCCCTTAACTCCCACTTCAGAAGTGATGAGATCTTTCTAACTACCAGCACAGAGTGTCTGCAGCTGGAATGTACCATGCCTCTGCTATAAGACTGCACTGGAACTATCTCTTACATCCCTTTAGAAAACATATTAGGAAGGGAAAAGGTCCAACCAAAGAAGAGGAAACCTTAACAGGGTGATTGCAGGGACAGAACATGCAGGTTACAAGAAGCAAAACATTGGTCTACATAGGAAATTTTGGGGATTCATTTGTGGATCAGAAAAGATTGGCTAGGAATAGAAAAAAAAATGACAGAAGGGAGGCCTTTGCAGACCTCAGTGGAGATTTTTATTTGGTAAGGTTTCTAGGTTAGTGTCCCTTGACACTACTCCCTACCAGGATTCTGAACTCTGGTTTAATTGTACTTAGGGAGTTTCACAAAGAGGCATTTAAGCTTTGAATTTTAATCAGTATTTGCCATGACTTGCAGCTGGATTTTCAGAGTAGTGAAATATCCCACTTCACCATGTTAGAATTGAGTGTCTTCTCTTTGATGCAAAACAGACTGTAAGGCATGGGTCTGGTTGGCAACTGTGCAGTCTATGTCAGGCCACTTCAGCAAATAATTATGCCCTATTTGACGATAAATGCCTAACTCATTGCGTGAGGGCCTGGAAAAGCTTTTTACTGTCTGAAAGATCAAAAGAGCTAAAGAACTACAGCTGGAGCCAGAGGCACTTAAAGAGATGACAAGATTATGTAAGGGAAATCTTGATGTTAGGCTCACAAGAGGATGTGAAGGGTGCTAAACAATTTTTTTCTTCACTTGGTCAATATCAATGTTCTTGAACAGAAGCAGAGGTCTTTGGAAAATCCACAATTTCTGCTGAGGCTAGGAAAATCTCCAGTCTTTTCAAAAATCTAGCTGTTAATAGTCAAGAGTAGATGTCCTAATTTGAAAATTGGATCCCAAACATTTCCAGGTGAAGCTACACAGACAATATTTTATTACTTAACGTGTAGCAAATTATTCCTTTAAAAAGTCAAGATTAAAAAGTATACCCATTGCAGACTTTTTGTATTTTCAAAAACTTAAAGTAGATTGAAGGACTGGGAATAGAGATATCTGTACTATCAAGATTTACAAGCTTCTTGTTAGAAGGATTGAGCCAAGATGGCTATATTATTCAAACAAAAAAATACATATTTAAAAAAGGAGACATTTTTTCAAAAAGTCCATTGTTCAGTGTTTTTAATTATAAAGTTGTATTACCTCATTATTTGTTTTCATTTTGCATTGTAAAACACTGCTGGCAAAGGTAAAGCATGTTTCTGTGTGTGATAGAGAGCAAGATGATAGCTGGGAAATTAGGATCTAGGCCTGCATTATTGTCCCCAGATACATGCTCAGCTCTGGAGCTTCAGTGTCTTCTATCACTCTAGTCCTCATGCTCCATCAAACTAACAGTTTATCTCTTCCCTTACAGACTGAATACCACGTTATTTGAGTTCTGTGCATTGCAACACAATTCTGTCAACAAAACTCATTATCAACCAGCTGTACCAGCTGCTTCTTCTGACCTAATTGTCCAGCAATCCTGATGATTCATGTCAAAAGTCCATGATTCTGTGTTGGCCTAATCATGCATCCCTCCTTACTTGGGATACTTTTCTATATCTTTATGTGCAGTAATTGCAAAACAAGGATGAGGCCAGGAAATTCTTTCATTTTTGTACTTTGACATAATTAGAACAGGTTCCAAGACTTCCAGTGCTAAAAGGTAGCACACATTTCATCATTGTGTAATCTGGGCTCCCAAACTGCTGTTACGTTTTTAAGTTTACTTTATGTATCAGGCAGCACACTCTTAGGGTCATTTAAAGCCATATGCATTGGGCAAGGATACTAATAACACATACTTCTAAGCAGCTGATACTGTCAAAATATCAGTGAAAAGAAACAAATGGAGAATTTCCAGTGAACTAGAAAGTGTTCATTTTTCTGTAAAA